TTCATCGGCCACACCGCTTCGTCCATCTTCGACGCGGGCGCTGGTATCCAGCTGAGCCCGAACTTTGTCAAGCTTATTTCTTGGTATGATAATGAGTGGGGGTACTCTCGCCGTGTTTGCGACCTCCTCGTCTACGCTGCTACTCAGGACAAGAAGGCTGGGGTTTGAGAGAAAGGGCGGATAGTCGGAATTGGTGAAAGGCTTTAGATATCATCGAAACCAAAAAGAAAGGAAATGTTTATGCTGTAATTCTATAGGGGCTTGTCCTCAGATTGTGCTTCTACCATCGCGAGACCGTGTTACACAGATATATACACTCGTGTTCAAAGAAGTCTGTTTGCTTAAGGGTAGAGGGTAGAGTACACAAAGTGTGGCGAACCTTTACACGAACAGTATATGAAAAGAAGTTTATTGCAACCACTCCAGTAGTACATGTTTAAGTCGTTCATTAGCATGTCCGCGCCAGAAATGAGTAGCATTCCCAACTTCAACGATATTCAGCCTGTCACTTGTCCCAGAATGAGTCTCCAGTTCAGCCACCCACGTTCTATAACTCGATATGGACGTGAACTCATCCTGGTCCCCGAAAACCACAAGCACGCGGGATGTAGAGGACTTGATGAGGTCCTCTAGTCTCTGGGCGTATGTTGATGATCGGAACAAGGTGAGCCATGATCTGGGACCGAGGGGGTAGGATAGTAGGACGTGTGAGGTTTGTACTGGAGCCGGGAGAGGTGGTTGGAGGGAGGCAATTAGGGAGCCATGGGAGTAGCCCTAAGATACGTATGGGTTGAGTGACCAACGTATTGAAAGTACAGAATTGAACGTACAATTATAACGACGGAGCTAACGTTGGAAAGATGATCAAGTGTCCAACGTATTATGGCTTCCAAGTCCTTTGCCTCGTCAAAACCAGTGAACGACGCTCGGCCAGTCGACCTGCCGACGCCTCGCGAATTGTATCGGAGGACATGGTAGTTCTTGGAAAGTAACGGATCGACCAGAGAGTCAAGGACACTTCAATTGAAGCTTTTAAGAGGTGTAAGTAAGTACCAGAGGGGTATGGATGACCCACGGATCCTGCATTCGACCACCGAGCCAGGACCAAGGGTGGAGACATATGGCTAATTTCGTTCCCTCTGAATGGGTGGTGGGTGGTGGCTTTGAAAGAATAGTTTCGAGAGAAACGCCTGTGGGTAGGTTGATAACCTCAACGTTTGGCTGCATGAAGTCCGGAACCGTGACTTCACGGCACAGCGCAGCAGCCTGAGTGTCGAAAGCCTGCGAATCGATGAAAAATAGCGAAGTAAGCGGTCTCTTGTGACGAGATAGTTGATTTCGTAATATCCGTTCAAACCAGTTCTTCATCGACCACGACAATCGAACGACTCATCGACGACTCATCGAACACTCCAAACTCGATATCTCTCATATTAACACACATTATTTCATGGCGTCCAACAGGATGTTAGAAAACGCTACCGGAAATACCTTTTCAGGGAATGCACAGTTCTACAACGCTGACCATGTCACGATTGTACACGGCCCTCCTTCTGCAGGTACGTTCAGGCTGTATTTCAGCCACCTCTTTCAGTACAATTCACTATATCTAGGTCTCTCGCAATTGCTTAGGCCTGTCAGTAACGCGACACACACCCGCTCAGGTCCAGTCGCAAAGTGTGATCCTGGCACTCGCCTCGCAGTGATTGACACGATCAAGAAATGGCTTAATATGCGTAATAAGCAATCTGTTTGTTGGCTTAACGGGCCAGCTGGTTATGGCAAATCTGCACTATCGCAAACCATTGCGCAGCTCTATGCCGACGAGGGCAGGCTTTTAGGCAGTTTTTTCTTTCTTCGGGGTGCTGGGGATCGCAGTCACATTGCACGCCTAATTCCCACCCTTGCGCACCAGATCTTCATCTCTGTGCCCGCCACAAAACCGCTGATTGACCGGGCTCTCGAAGAAGATAGCACCTTGCTAGACACTTCAGTCTCTATTGTTCACCAGTTCCGAAGACTCATCATGAACCCACTATCTTCCCTCTCCATTCCCTTTCAATCTTTTTTTGCCAAGTCAAAGATCCTTGTCATCGATGGTCTTGATGAGTGTGATGACAAGGCTCAAATGGCGGAACTTATTGACATGCTGATTGACATATCTCAAAGGGGCCAGCTCCCTTTTCGCATCTTTCTTACTAGCAGAGTGGAAGAACATATCCGGAAGAAGTTCAATGATGCCAGGGCTCACTCAGTCTTGTACTGCATAGACTTGAATGCTTTTGATGCTCGCCCTGATATCCAACTATATTTTGAACAGCAGTTTGGTCGTATCTATGATCAGAACCTCCCAATCATGCGGAGGATCTCACAGCCTTGGCCATCCTCTGGAGCTCTCTCTGTGCTTCTTGATAAAGCTGGTAGCTCATTCATGTTTGCTGCCAC